CGGCTCTGCCCCCTCCAGAGTCTCCTGGGAGATACACCTAGAAGCAGAACTGGACCTTTGCTTGAGGCAACTTCCTGGCCTCCTTTCTGGGAAGAGCCAGCCCCATTCCCTTCCCTGGGCATAAAATTAGTTCCTCCGGCTGCCCAGTCTACACATGCCACAGATGGGTAAACTGAGGCCTGGGGAACTGGGGTGTTGCTAGGTCCCCCACAGAGAGTGGGTCTGGAGCCTGCTTGTAACTGGTGTTAACGTAAAACACACACACACACACACACACACACACACACACACACACACAAAACATTGAAAGCTGTAAAGAATTTTTGTGAGTTTATTTGAGCCAAACTGTCGACGTATGCCGGGAAGCAGAACCTCAATGGACTGAGATAATGCTCCGAAGAATGGCGGGTTACATTTCTATTTATACATTGCAATCAAAGGAGGGACATAGGTGTGTTACCAGAAATTCATTGGTGACGGATTAAGGAGGCGGAAGAAAGCAAAGTGGTGGGAAACCCCTGGGACTGGATAAAAAGTAAAATGATGGACACTACTTAGGTGGGTACAGGAACAATTAACATGATAATGAAGGAATCTGTAGTATCAGTCCTGGTGCCCACCACATCTGATTGTGCCCCTGGGGCTCCAGAAAAAGGGAAGTTACAAGTTACCCAGACATCTCACAGATACGTTATCTTAGAGGCAAAAAGGCAAATGGGTTCAGGAAAGATCTAAATTGATCTTTGTCAGAAAAATATCAGCCTAGGACATGACTACCCACTATAACCTGTTTGTGGTTCAATATTAGATTTTCAGACCATTTTTTAAGGTTATTTTAGGTCTCTGAGTTTGCAAGACTGCCACGCAGGCCTCCCCTGAGCTTGTCAGGTCAGCACGTGGCCCTGGGCATCTCGGCGGGGGGGGGGGGGGGCGGGGGGGAGACTGGACGGGCGGTTCTCTGGAAAGGGAATGGACTGCATTCCAACGTGAGTCCTCATGTCCCAGGGCGGACAGCTCAGCCCCGTTAGAATGCACTTCCTCCAACCAGCACAGAACCATCACGGTTAACACTCACGGTTAACCGAACAGGATTAGTGTTTCTTATCATGAGCGCTAGTCCCCGTTTCTCTAGTTCTGCCGTTAACGTACCAAGATCCCTGCCTGACCCGTTGCTGTGCGGGCTTCTGGAAATGTCTGCCCCTCCCCAGCTGGGCCCTCTCGCCTCCCCGCCCCCGTCCCCCACAGGCGGTGACTTTCGGTAAGTGACAGCCGCTCAGGAAGCCGAGGGGCCCACACAGGAAAGGGCCCAGCGGGACTTTCCTCCCTCTGCCACCCGGCTCTGCCTCCCCTCGCTGGCCCAGGGTCCCCGCCTGCCAGGTAAGATCTGGTGGTGCCTCAGGGCTCTGGCCCGGCCCGGGGGGAGGGGTTGGGGTGCATGGTTATGTCTGGGGATGTCAGGGTACGTGGAGGGTCCTGTGACAGCAAGGGCAAGTTTGCCTCCAGGCCTGCAAGGGAAGCTGTGAGACCTGGCTCTGGGGCCTCCGCTGTGTCGGGCATAAAACAAGCTCCACAGTCCAGCTCTGGGAGCCTGTGCCAATCACTGTACCTGCTTTGGGGACCAGTTCCTGTCCAGAACCTGGGGTGACCCAGCAGGTGGGAATTTTGATGTCAAAACAGGGGCATTTTTCTCATCCTCCAAACCCTGGGTTTTCACCTCCGAGTTTTCCTTTTTTCACTTTCGATATTTAAACAATCGTGTGGGGTTTTTTTGTTGTTGTCGTTTTAAGATTTATTTTAAAGAGAAGACATGCTGTGTGATTCCATTTTTATGAAAGTGCAAAGTCGGGTAAGACCAGGGTGGCTGTTAGAAGCAGGACCGTGGTCCCCTCCGAGGGTGACGGGGTCCCCAGGCTCCGGGGGCTGTGAATGTTCCCATCACTGGCCTGGGAGCTGGTGGCACTGAGGGGTTTCTAGGGCAAAGTCCTGTCCCTACCACACCCTCCCTCCCGGACAGGAACCACTAAGCCACCTTGCCAGGGGACTTTCCTGTCTGCTTTGGCTGGCCTTTGTCCCGTGCTTGCTCGCTAAGGTTTGAGTCCGTTACTGCAAATTAAATGGGCTGACACCTCTGGGTGGCTCAGGGGACCCTCTCAGTGAGGGGGGTGAGGTGTCAGCCCATTTCACAGCTGACAGAGAGACCCAGTGGTGGAGCCCTGGGAGGGTCACATGGGGGGGGGCGGGGCTGGGATTTGAACCCAGAGCCTGGGGTCTTCATCTATCCCAGCCCCAGGATGTTATTCTGAGTGTGTGACAAACACATTACTGCTGTGTTTTACCCCCATTCCCTACTGTTATTTTGTAACATTTTAAAAAAACTATTATTTTGTTTTCCCCAACTTTCTCTTTGTATCTTCTTAACCCAGGGCAGTTTAAGTGGATCTGGACCACCTGCCTGATTTTCCTCACTGGGTTCAAAGACCAACCCCTTGCCCAGCCCAGCCAGAGGCCCTGAGCTCTGGGGATCCCCAGTGGGGGGAGAGAGAGAGAGAGAGAGAGAGAGAGAGAGAGAGAGAGAGAGAGAGAGAGAGTGTGTCTCCTGGGCTTCCTGCCCTGGGGCCCGAGATGCTGAGGGGCTCAGTGATAGGAGTGATAGAGACCTAGACGGTGGTGAGTCAGACTCGGAGACCCCTGTGGGCAGAGTCATCAGACTGGGTCTCCCCGCTGGGCATGAATCACATCAGATGCAGAAGCTTCCAGCCAGAAGTGCTTTTGAGCATCACTCCCTCCAACAGGGAGTGAGGACATCCTTGCTCCTGTAAACCCTTAAGTGCAAAAGCCAGCACCCATCTGCTTCCTGGTTGGCAAATCTGTACATCTGTGATCAATTGCTCCTGCCTTCGTGGGGCGGGGGCTGGAGGAGGGGGCAAGAGAGGCTGCAGATGGACTGGAGATGTCTGCCTTGGGCACTAACAAGAGCGTTTGGTGTGAGTTCACACAAACCTGGGTGCAGAGTATCTTCCAGCCCCCAGCACAGACCTCACCTGGGGGCTTGTGGCTCCTCACCCACCTTGCATACTCAGAAACCGCCCCCCCCCCCTTCCCCATCTCTTCCTCGTTCTCTCTGTGTACTTCTGTCCCTCTCTTTCTCTTTTTCTCGCCGATTTCCTACCTCACCCAGCAGTATCTCTATTCCTCCCCCACTCCCATCCCTCACCCCCTTCCCAATTGAGGAGGTTTGTACAGTAAACCATTTTGTGGAGCTTGATTGAACAGATTTGGGCTATAATGGACAAAATTTCTGGTCTGTATGTGAAGATTAATACCCTGTTAATTTTAAAATGCTTTTAACAGAGACTTGCTAATAATTAAATTAACGGGTGTTTTTTGTTGTTGTTGTTGTTATTAATTCACTGTTATTTTATTATTTTTGCTTCATTCTCACCCCAAAATATTTTTTCTATTGATTTTTAGAGAGAGTGGAAGGGATTGGAAGAGACAGAGAGCGAGAAACATCCATGTGAGAGAGACCCACGAGCCCTGACCAGGGGCCAGAATCAAGCCGGCAATCAAGGTACATGCCCTTGACCGAAATCAAAACAGGGATTTTAGTCCACAAGCCGATGCTCTGTCCACTGAACCAAACCAGCTAGGGCAATTCATTGTTATTTTTAACAAATTTTAGCGCATAGACCATACGTTGGGGGAAAAAACACACTAATAATTTCGCTGACATAAATAAATGTTACATATCTACAGCTACAGCTTACATGTTTAAATCCAGGAGTCACGGCTCCTAAATGATGTTCAGGGACTGACTAGCACATGGCCACACCACCTCACGCGTTGGCTCTGCTGTCTGTTGGTGTGGCTTTCCGCAGAGGCCAGGGTTCCAGTGTGCCCCAAGCCACCCCGCCCTGGGCGTTAGCTTACTGTCTGTGCCTGGCGAATGCGTGCCTTTACTAGCCCTACTCAGCATAAATGTAAAGTTACAGGAATAGATGTAGAAAACCTTTCTATAAAATTAAACTGTCCCTACCGACTTAATTAAAAAAGTTTTATTTTATTTTATTGATTTTTTTTCACAGAAAGGAAGAGAGAGTTAGAAACCTCGATGAGAGAGAATCATTGACCAGCTGCCTCTTGCACACCCGCTACTGAGGATGTGCCCGCAACCAAGGCACATGCCCTTGACCGGAATCGAACCCGGACCCTTCAGTCCACAAGCCAACGCTCTATCCACTGAGCCAAACCAGTTTCGGCCCTACTGACTTAATTTTTAAATATATATATTTGTATTTATTACAGAGAGGAAGGAAGAGGGGGAGAGAGATAAAAACATCCATGTGGAGAATCATTGGCCGGCTGCCTCCTGCACGCATCCCTGCTGGGCTCCAAGCCCACAATCCATGTGCCCTGACTGGAATCCAACCATGATCTCCTGGTTCATAACTCAGTACTCAACCTCTGAGCCAGACTCGGAGTGAGTCAGACTCGGAGACAACAATCACACTGGCTGGGGCCATACAGACCTAATTGTAATTACACAAGTGTGTCTACATAAGCAGAAACAGGTAAACTATCTAATTTGTCAATTTTTAAAAACATATATTTTTATTGATTTTTTTTACAGAGAGGAAGGGAGAGAGACAGAGAGCTAGAAACATTGATGATAGAGAAACATTGATCAGCTGCCTCCTGCACTCGCCACACTGGGGATGTGCCTGAAATCAAGGTACATGCCCTTAACCGGATTCGAACCTGGGACCTTTTAGTCCGCAGGCCGACGCTCTATCCGCTGAGCCAAGCCGGTTTTGGCTGTCAATTTTTTGACGTACACATTCAGAAAACCCACTTTATTACATAATGGACTTTTGGCTTTAACGGACCCCCCTCCCTCCCCCTGCCCAAATTAGCCCGTTCTGTCAACGTTTTACTCTATGTAGTCCTGCCCCTTTGCCCAGAACGCAGGCCTGCCTCTCTCTGTCCAGGCGGCTGCGCTCATGGCGCCTCCCGGTGAAGAGACACCGCTGATCCCTGAGCGCTCTTACAGCCTCTCGTCCTCCGAGCCCGGTGCCCTGCACGTGCTGCTGCCCCCTCGGGGTCCCGGGCCCCCTCAGCGCCTGACCTTTTCCTTTGGGGAGCACTCGGCTGAAGAGCTGTGTGTTCGTGCCGCCAAGGCCAGCGGTGAGTGGGCCCTTAAAAATGCGGGGCCGGAGGGATGGGTGGGAGTGAGGGACCTGGATTGGGAGCTAGAATAGCTGCCAGCCTGAGTCAGCATTGGGCCTGAGGCTTTGAGGGATGCGTAGGAGTTTGGTAAGGGAGGAAGAGGGAATGGCGTGTGATAGCACAGGAGGGAAAACGGCTGATCATCCTCTAGGTAGAGAGTACAGGGGAGAGATGCTCTGGGGAGAGGGGGAGAGAGCCTGAGAAGATGGTGAGTGGCTTCTCTCCTGAGGGCAATGGGAGCCCTGGAGTGAGTGTGAGCAGGGGCGGCGCAGTGTCATAGCTAACGGTGCCAGAGAGCCCTGTGGCACTGCGTGGAGGCTGCAGGGGACAGAGGGAGACCAGGAGGGCGCTGACGGGGGCCTCCCCTCAGGCATCCTGCCCGTGTACCACCCCCTCTTTGCCCTGGCGCTGGAGGACCTGTCCTGCTGGTTCCCCCCGGGCCACATCTTCTCCGTGGAGGACGAGGGCACCCAGGTCCTGGTCTACAGGCTCCGGTAGGAAGCACTTCCTCCCCCCCCCGCCCCCCGCCGACCCCCCCGCACTGCCTGCAGGGTGCCTTTGGCGGAGGAGGGCTTAGGAAATGGGAGTTTGAAACAGTGATCCTACAACGAATCATTTCCCTGTACCTCACAATGAGTGCTCCAGGGAGGGTGTGACCACTGTAGGGAAACTGAGGCCAGAGAGGGTGGATGGCTTGCCCAAGGTCACACAGCGATTCACTGGCACTCCCTGGGCTCCTTGAGGTCTTGGCACAATCCTCTATCTCCTCTCCCCCCCCACCCCTCTTCCCGGCCAACACTCCTCACTCCCGGGTTCTCCCCTCCCCTCCACAGCTTTTACTTCCCCAACTGGTTTGGGCTAGAGACGTGTCACCGCTTCGGGCTTCGAAAGGACTTGGCCAGCGCCATCCTTGACCTGCCAGTCCTGGAATACCTGTTTGCTCAGGTAGGGGTCCGTGTGGGGCCTGGCCCCGGGCTGGGGTCCGCAGAGCAACCTCAGGGGTGGCCTTGGCTGATCCTCCATGTGGCAACCAGGAGCGGGGGTCAGCCCAGGGGCGGGGGTCAGCCCAGGGGTGGGGGTCAGCCCAGGGGTGGGGGTCCACGGGGCAACCTCAGGCCTCACAGTTGGCTGTGACCGGCTCCCAGCACCGCAATGACCTGGTGAGTGGCCGCCTGCCGGTGGGCCTCAGCCTGAAGGAGCAGGGCGAGTGTCTCAGCCTGGCGGTGCTGGACCTGGCTCGGATGGCCTGTGAGCAGGCCCAGCGGCCGGAGGAGCTGCTGAAGACCGTCAGGTGAGGGCCTCCGGACTGTGGTGCCCAGCTGCCAGCTGGGAGTGCGCAAACATGACTCTACCAGGGCATCCCAGAGCTCAGGAACCCCAGAAGGCTCCCTGTCTACAAGCCTGCAGTGAGACTCAGGCCTCAACCCAGTCCCATGCCCCACTGAGGCTCCAGGCCCCTGCCTCCTGCCCCCAAAGGCCTGCCTGTGTCCCTGTCTGTCCCGTGGGCCCCAATGGCTTTCCCCACGCTGAGGCCCTCCTCCCCTGCATGCCCCTGAGGGTGTCCCCATGCCTGCAGACAGGCCACACTACAGCCCCTCAACTAAAGCCTGGGTTGGGGGTGTGTCCCTGTCAGTCCCTGCCTCACGTGACTGAGAGTCCACTCCCCCCGCTCACAGCTACAAGACCTGCCTGCCCCCTGGCCTGCGCGACCTGATCCAGGGCCTGAGCTTCGTGACGCGGAGGCGCATCCGGAGGCGGGTGCACCAGGCCCTGCTCCGCGTGGCCACCTGCCAGGCTGACAGACACTCGCTCATGGCCAAGTACATCATGGACCTGGAGAGACTGGACCTGGCGAGGGCCACGGAGACCTTCCTCGTGGGCCTCCCCGGGTCTGCTGGCGGTCCTGACGCGAAGGGGCTGCTCCGCGTGGCCGGGAGCAGCGGCATTGCCTGGAGCCCAGGGACACAGGAGGTGCCCGCAGGATCTGGGCGGGGGCGGGGCCAGAAATGGGCGGGGCTATTGGGGCGGGGCCCAAGCTGGGGGGGGACTGGGAGGGCTCAGGGAGTGGCTAGCAGAGTGAGGGGCGGGGCTGAGTGAAGAGGCGGGAGTGAGAAAAATGGGCGGGGCTGAAAGGGAGGGCGCTGGTTGGGCGGAGCTAACCAATGGTACAGGGAGGAGGCGGGACTAAGGGCAGGGCTTCCGACTGGACTAAGAAAAATAAAGTGGAGCTAAGCAAAGGGGGTGGGGGTGCTCAGAGAAGGTTCCCACTGAGAGATGGAGGAGGGGTTTAAAAATATATATATATATTATTGATTTCTTACAGAGAGGGATAGTTAGAAACATCGATGAGAGAGAATCATCGATCAGCTGCTTCTTGCACACCCCCTACTGGGGATGTGCCCGCAACCAAGGTACATGCCTTGACCGGAATCGAACCTGGGACCTTTCAGTCCGCAGGCCGATGCTCTACCCACTGAGCCAAACCGCTTTCGGCTGGAGGAGGGTTTTGGCAGGGGCAGGGTGGGAGGAATTTGGGGATGAGCAGGGGAGGGGTCGAATGGGGTGTGATTAACAGAAGAGGAGGGCTTGACAGGGGCGAGGTGGGAGAGGAATGGACTGGGCCCGGCCGAGAGCTGTGGGGTTCATTGTGTGGGTCGGTGGGGTTCAGGCTTCCAAAAGAAGTTTGGGGGCTCCGAGGAAGCGGACTCCCGCCCTCAGGCCTCCGCTTCCTCCCTCCCAGGTCTTCCAGCCTTTCTGCGACTTTCCAGAAATCGTGGACATCAGCATCAAGCAGGCCCCGCGCGCTGGCCCGGCTGGGGAGCATCGCCTGGTCACCATCACCAGGACGGACAACCAGATCCTGGTGGGTGCGGGAAGCCCTCCCTCTCCCGACTTACCCGGGAGCGGGGACCACCGCAGGCGCTAACGCGGCCCTCGCTCGGCCCCTCGCAGGAGGCCGAGTTCCCGGGGCTGCAGGCCTCCCTGTCCTTCGTGGCGCTTGTGGACGGCTACTTCCGGCTGACCACGGACTCCCAGCACTACTTCTGCAAGGAGGTGGCGCCGCCGCGGCTGCTGGAGGAGGTGGCGCAGCAGTGCCACGGCCCCATCACGTAAGGACCGGCCTTCCATACCCGCCGCCCTCGGCAGCCTGTTCAACCAGGTCCAAACCCTGGTCACTCCCCTTCCTGGTGCCTCAGTGTCCTCGCCTTCCTCAGCCCTGGACAAGGGGTCAAGTGCTGGACAGCGGCTGCTGCATAGTCAGCACTCAAAGAGGCTGGGTCGCCCAGGCCACCGACTGTGTCCCTCCCTCTGACGTCTGGGGTCCCAGGCTATTTCCTCCTGCTTAATCATTTGCTCCATTTTACATGGGGGGGGGGGGGGGGGAGAGGGAATGTTACGTGGTGAGGATCCAAGAGACCAGAATTAGAGCCCAGGTTGACCATAGTGCTTGGTTCCTCTGCCTCCATCTCTTTGTCTTGCAACCTTGGCTCCCTCCCACCTTCCCCCCAAGCCTGGATTTTGCCATCAACAAGCTCAAGACTGGAGGCTCCCTCCCTGGCTCCTACGTTCTCCGCCGCAGCCCCCAGGATTTCGACAGCTTCCTCCTCACTGTGTGTGTCCAGGTTGGTCCACCACCAGGAGCCAGGAGGTCAGGGAGGGCTTCCTGGAGGAGGAGAGATTTGAGTCATGTCCCGAAAGGCGTGTGAGCATGTGCTTCCTGAAGAAGGGAAGGGAAAAGACGTGCCCAGTGGAGGGAAACAGCATGTGCAAAGGCTTGGAGATCAAGATGAGCCCGAAACTGGTTTGCCGAAACTGGTTTGGCTCAGTGGATAGAGCATCAAGCCTGCGGACTGAAAGGTCCCGGGTTCGATTCCGGTCTAGGGCATGGACCTGGGTTGCGGGCACATCCCCAGTAGGGGGTGTGCAGACCGCAGCTGATCGATGATTCTCTCTCATCGATGTTTCTAACTCTTTATCCCTCTCCTTTACTCTCTGTTAAAAAATCAATAAAATATATTTTTTTTAAAAAATGAGCCCATGGTGCTCAAGAAAGGGAGAGAGCGCGGCCCGTGCTGCCTGCTCCGCACTCAGGGACCACTCCTCCTTGCAGACCCCGCTGGGCCCCAATTACAAGGGCTGCCTCATCCGGTGCGACCCCACAGGAAGCTTCTCCCTGGCTGGCCTGGGCCGGCCCCACAGCAGCCTCCGGGAGCTCCTGGCGGCCTGCTGGGACGGTGGTCTGCACGTCGACGGGGTTGCCCTAAACCTCACCTTCTGCTGCCCCCCCAGACCCAAAGGTGAGCCCGCCCTCTCCCTTGAGCTGAGGAGTCGGTCTGGGGCCCTGCTCTTCCGTGAGTCACAGCTCTTGGGTGGCCGGCGGCAGGAAATGCAACGTGGGTGAGGGAAGGATCGCCGATGTGTTGGCTTGTGGGGTGGATCACAGTCTCAGGCACAGCGGACTCCAGACTCCGAGGGAGGGAGGTCACCAGCACTTCATCTCTCTCTCTCCATCGTTTGCCCTCCCCTCTGGGTGCGTTCACTCTCAGACAAACCCCTGGGATGGGGTGGCTCTGTGGAGACCGGGGCAACACGGAGACAGGTTGACCATAGAGGAAGGTGACCAGACGTCCCGCTTTTGGCGGGACAGACCCGATTTTTAACATTTGTCTTGCGTCCCGCGGCACAATTTGTTAAAAACAAGGACTGTTACACCCAAAATTGGGACATCTGGTCACCTTACCATAGAGCTGGTTGCTCATTGGCACCCCGAACCCCCAGGTTCTTGCCCTTTCTGTTTCCTCACCTCGGGGGCTGCCAGGAGTCTCCTCTCCCGTGAACCATGTGCCCTGCTGTCCTCACCGCAGGGCCGGCTTCCTGGGGAGACTTCCAAAGGAAGACAGGAAGGGAGCGAACCGTTGAGGGCCTTTTACCTCTGACCTCTGGTTTTTCTCTCTCTCCACCCCCCGCCTCGTAGAAAAGTCCAACCTGATTGTGGTCCGGAGAGGCTGCAGCCCACCCACATCGTCCCCGGTCCAGCCCCACGCGGGGTGCCAGCTGAGTCAGATGACATTTCACAAGATCGCCGCGGACAGCCTGGAGTGGGTGAGGAGCCTCAGGGAACGGGGGTGGATGGGGACCCCTCCGCTGGAGTCAGAGACCTGGTCTGCATCCCTCTCTGCTGTGTGGCCTCAGGCATGTGCCGTAACCTCTCTGTGCTTCTGCTTCAGCACCTGTAACATGGGGCCAGTGCCCGTGCCTTGCTCAGGCCAGAAGGGTGGGGGGTGGGGGGGTCGGGATCCCCTTACTGGCCTCTCCTGTCGTTCCCTCGCCATCCAGCGGGAGAACCTGGGTCACGGATCCTTCACCAAGATCTACCGGGGCTGTCGCCACGAGACTGTGGACGGGGAGCCTCGGGAGACGGAGGTGCTGCTCAAAGTGCTGGACGCGAAACATAAGCACTGCATGGAGGTGAGCGGGTGGGGACCGGGCCTTTGGGGCCAAGACTGGCTGCAGAGAGGGTCATGGGATCAGAGGCATTTTATTTATTTATTTTTTATTTTTTAAAATATATTTTATTGATTTTATACAGAGAGGAAGGGAGAGAGATACAGAGTTAGAAACATCGATGAGAGAGAGTCATCGATCAGCTGCCTCTTGCACACCCCCTACTGGGGATATGCCTGCAACCAAGGTACATGCCCTTGACCGGAATCGAACCCAGGACCCTTCAGTCCCCAAGCCGATGCTCTATCCATTGAGCCAAACCGGTCCCGACATTTTAGAACACAGAAATGTAGCCACAGCGTCTCCAAAGGATGAAGTACGGAAGAGTCCGGGAACGCCGATGCCAATGGGAAGAGCGCAACTAACCAGTGCAAGGGTCCTGAGGCGGGACCGAGCAGGGCACATCTGAGGACCAGTGAGGAGGCCAGTGGGCTAGAGAGGAGCGTGCAAAGGTCAGGGAGTGGTGCTGATGGAGGCATCAGAGGGGCTGGGCCTTGCTTAACCTCCAAACCTCCCGCTTACCTGTGAGAGATTGGAGGCAGACTACAGTGCCCACTTCTAGCCGCCATCAGGAAATTATACTGTGGAGTGCAGTGTCCACTCACAGTGGGACCCAGGCCAGAAAGAGTGGGGGCCGGGCCTCCTCCAAAGGCAGGTGTGTGAGCTGTAAGTGTGGGGTCGCTGGTCGGAACCTGGAGTGAAAGGAACCCAGGCATCTTCTCTCCCTCCTGACCTCCCCAGTCATTCCTGGAAGCAGCGAGTCTGATGAGCCAAGTGTCGTACCAGCATCTCGTGTTGCTTCATGGCGTGTGCATGGCCGGAGACAGTAAGAGACACCCCGTGCCCCCACCTCCACCCCCCACCTCCACCGCCTCACGGAGCCTCTCCAAGGCAGCCTTAGGAATACACACCCAGGGCCCCTCATGTACAAAGACCCCTCAATCGCCACTCCAGGCTCCACCAACACCCAGCCCCACTGCCATGTCCAGCCAGCCCTGGGTTCCCAGGTCACTTCACTGTCTGTCCTTCTGCAACTCGGTCAGGGCCCATTGCCTCCCCAAGCCTCCATCTCACCCATTAGCTCATCCCAGGAGCTGGGTGCACGGCTCAGAGCATGCCGGGCCGGCCAGGTGACAGGTGATGGTGTGGGATGGGGACCGCGCAGGGTGCCGGGGCGGCCAGAGGCACCCACACGGCTCAGAGAGCAGGCGATGGTGTGGGCGGTGAGGATGAGGAGGAGTCAGGGGAGGGAGAGAAGGGGGTGTTCTAGGCAGAAGACACCGAATGCACCAAGGGCTGGGTGTGAGATACAGAGAGCTCAGGGCCTGCCGGGCATTCCAGGCAGAGAGCTCTGAGGAGGGAGGCGGGGAGGTGGAGGGGAGCAGGGTGAGGATGGAGGAGCAGGGGAGGGGACAGGCAGAGCACAGAGTGTGGCGACTCCTGAGGCGCAGTGGAGGCGGAGCCCGTCGCCCACCGTGCAGCCCCGCCCTTCCCTGTGCGGCCACCAGGCGTCATGGTGCAGGAATTCGTCCGCCTGGGAGCCCTGGACACGTACCTCCGCAAGTGCGGCCAGTTGGTGCCCGCCAGCTGGAAGCTTCAGGTGGTCAAGCAGCTGGCCTACGCTCTCAACTACCTGGTGAGTGCTCCTCTGCCTGCTCCGTCCTCCCTCCCGGAGAGGAGAGGGCGTGGAGGGCGGGCTCAGTGGGATGGGAGCAGTGTGGCTAGGGGAGGCATCTTAGACGGAGGGCAAAGCCTAGGCACAGGCTCAGAGATGCCAGAGCAGAGGAAGGGGGCAGCCGGTTGTCTGGATATCGGGGAGCTGTGAGCCATGAGGCTGGGTCGGGGGGGGGGGGGGAGCCTTCCCGAGGAGCGGGGGCCTGGAAGGTGGAGTTGAAGTTCCTCGTGAGGAGAAAGCAAGGAGGGCGTGTCTGGCTGAGGGGACAGCCTGCGCCAAGGCCGTACAGTGAAGAGGGTGTGTTTCACGTCTGGGGGCATCATTCCGTTCGCTTGGCAGGAGATTTTGTGTGTGTGTGTGTGTGTGTGTGAAAGAGAGAGAGAGAGAGCTCGTGGGAAGAAGGCACGAGGGCTGGGTTTCAGAAGGCCTTGAACGCCAGGCTGAGGACCTTTGACCTTATCCTGAAGCCACTGGGGAGCCTCCGGGTGGGAGAGCAGCGTTTGAGAAGGGGAGTGCCATCGTCAGGGAATAGGGGGTGGGCTAGAGGAAGCCAGTCAGGCTGCCAGTGTTCTGGGGAAGATTCCAGAGTATGGCCTGAGCAGCCCAGATGGGCTTTGCAGGGTGTGTAGCAGTCAGCAGCCAGCACAGTCACCCATCAAACCCTCCCTGGCATTCCCGTTCGCCCGGCCCCCTTAGGAGGACAAAGGCCTCCCGCACGGCAATGTCTCAGCCCGGAAGGTGCTCCTGGCTCGGGAGGGGACTGACGGGAGCCCGCCCTTCATCAAGCTGAGCGACCCCGGGGTCAGTCCCACGGTGCTCAGCCTGGAGAGTAAGTGCTGAGGGCTGGAGGGGGGGAGGGTCTCGTGGGAAGTGATCCCTGCTGCCATCTCCTCCCCCCTCTTCCCCCCAGTGCTCACTGACAGGATCCCCTGGGTGGCCCCTGAGTGCCTGCAGGAGGCCCGGACACTTAGCTTGGAAGCTGACAAGTGGGGCTTCGGGGCCACCGTGTGGGAGGTGTTCAGCGGTGTCCCGATGCCCATCAGCACCCTGGAGCCCGCCAAGGTCAGCGTCTCCCCTTGGACAGCTTGGGGAGGGTGGGTGGGTCTGGGAAGGCCTCCCGAGGGGGCACCGGGGTGACTGGCTCCTCCTTCCATCCTCAGAAGCTCCAGTTTTACGAGGAGCGGCAGCAGCTGCCTGCCCCTAAGTGGATGGAGCTGGCCCTGCTGATCCAACAGTGCATGGCCTACGAGCCGGGCCACAGGCCCTCCTTCCGCGCCGTCATCCGCGACCTGAACAACCTCATCACGTCAGGTGCTGCCCGGGCCGCGGGGTGGGCAGCGCCTGCGTGTGGTATCGGGCCCCGTGGGAGCAGAGCCCAATCGGTGTGCCTAGAAAGACTGGCGTGTGGGGCCTGTAACCGCCCGCTGTAACGGTCAGTTTGACGGCAGCTGTAACAAACAGGCACCTGAGCTCGAGGCTGAGCATGCTGGGTGTTTAGCTCTCATTCAGTGAGGGTGGGGTCCAGGCCAACAGGCACCTCTCTCTGTGGACCCACCCCCGGACCTCAGGCCTCTGTTGGGTCCTCTGTAGTTAAGGGCGTGGAGGGTCCCATTCTAGGTTTCCATGTGCCAGGCCTGGAGGGGTACAGAGTGCATCACCCTCATCCGTCTGAGCTCAGTCATGTGACCACAGCTCACGCCAGTGGAGTCTGGAAAGGCCCTTCCATGCCCATAGCCACGTGTGGTTGCACAGGGTGTGCCCTGCCTGGACCCAGCGGGCACACACAGTACCCTCTGGCTCGCAGCGGCCCCGTGCACAGAAAGGGTGTGCACGCAGATTGAGGTCACATAACAGATCCCTGTCTGCGGCCCCCAGATTATGAGCTCCTGTCGGACCCCACACCTGGGGCCCTGGCGCCCCACGATGGGCTGTGGAGTGGCGCCCAGCTCTACGCCTGCCAGGACCCCACCATCTTCGAGGAGAGACACCTCAAGTACATTGCACAGCTGGGCAAGGTGAGGCGGGCCGGGCTGGGCCGGGGTGGGCAGGGTGGCACCCGGGCGCGGACACCAGCCCTGCTCTCCCTCAGGGCAACTTCGGCAGCGTGGAGCTGTGCCGCTACGACCCGCTGGGAGACAACACGGGCGCCCTGGTGGCGGTGAAGCAGCTGCAGCACAGTGGGCCGGACCAGCAGAGGGACTTCCAGCGGGAGATCCAGATCCTCAAAGCCCTGCACAGCGACTTCATTGTCAAGTACCGCGGGGTCAGCTACGGCCCAGGTGCACCCCGCCCCCAGGGGTACTCTAAAGCCCACTTCCTCACCACCCCTCAGTGCCACTTTGGGGGAGTCTGGGAGCCCCAGCGGGTGCCGTGGACACTGTTATTCATTCCTCGCTAGGGCCTCCAGCCCTGCCCCCGGGGCTGACCTTGGACGGTGATTTTTCTGAGTTTCAATATTCCCGCCTGAAAAAATGGGTCATGATGAGGTGTCAGTGAGTCAGTATACATGGTAGGAAGTATGCAAGAGATATCAGCAGTAAGAGTTGTTGCCTTCCCACCTATCTATACTATTAATAATAAAAGGGTAATATGCTAATTAAACCGGGAGGCCTTCCAGGAGACCTTTCAGATGTCCTTTTGGACAAAGCCAAGGAATTGTGGTCAAGGCAGAGGTGGTTAGGGGTGATCAGGCCAGGGGAGGGCAGTTGGGGGCTATCAGGTCAGTGGGGGGTCAGTTGTGGGCAAGAAGGCCAGCAAGGGGAGGACAGTTGGGAGTGAGCAGGCCAGCAGGCAGAGTAGTTAGGGGCAATCAGGCAGGTGAGCAGTTAGGAGCCAGTGGTCCTGGATTGCGAGAGGGATGTCTGACTGCTGGTTGGGCCTAAACTTGAAGTCAGCCATCCCCCGAGGGGTCCCAGATTGGAGAAGGTGCAGGCCAGGCTGAGGGACTCCCTCCCTCACGAATTTTGTGCACCAGGCCTCTAGTCTATAAAATGCTAATTAGACCGGATGTCCTTCCTGACTAAGCCAGGGCTGCGACAGCCACCACATTTCAAGCATTGAGCTTCTAGCTTTGTAGAAAGCAATACTGAGTCCAGGACAGTCCCACTCTGAACAGGGGGAAGAATGGGGAAGGGAGTAGAGAGAGCTGGGCCCGGGGTGACGCCTCCGCCTCCCTACCTCCTAGGCCGCCAGAGCCTGCGGCTGGTCATGGAGTACCTGCCCAGCGGCTGTCTGCGCGACTTCCTGCAGCGGCACCGGGCGCGCCTGGACGCTGGCCGCCTGCTGCTCTACGCCTCGCAGATCTGCAAGGTGCGGGAAGCCGGGGACCTGCAGGCCCAGCGGCTAGCCTTGGGTGGGAGTCTGAGGAGCCTGGGAAAGCTGACTTGGGGTCCAGGTCTGGTTGGCGGGTGAGGTTGAGTTCGGGCTAAGGTCAGGACTGGAGGGTAGGATGGGGCAGAATGGGGTTAGGCTTGGGATCTGGGTTGGGACTGGGGCTGGAGCCAGGTCAGGCTCGGGGACCCTTGCTGAGTCATACTCTGTACCCCATGTCCGGCCGCAGGGCATGGAGTACCTGGGCTCCCGCCGCTGCGTGCACCGCGACCTGGCAGCACGCAACATCCTGGTGGAGAGCGAGACGCACGTCAAGATCGCCGACTTCGGCCTCGCCAAGCTGCTGCCCCTGGACAAAGACTATTACGTTGTCCGGGAACCGGGCCAAAGCCCCATTTTCTGGTGGGAAACGCGCTTCAGCCCGGCCCTCTTCCCCACAGGCTTCTCCCTCCCTGGCCACCCCCTCCTCCCAGGGCACTGGTCCCGCCCACAGCGGCAGCTGCACCCTGAGCCCCCTGCTTCTCCTCTCCACTATCCGGGCCCCTCCCTTGCTTCCCCTGCTCTGATCTGGCCCCTTCTCCCCTTTTCCTTACTGTCCTGGGCCCACCCTAGGCCTGCCCCACCCACAGCCCCGGCCCCGCCCCTTCACCCCGGCTCCTCCCCCTCAGCACTGGCCCCTCCCCCTCAGCCCTGGCCCCTCCCGTCCCCACAACACAGAGTTGACAGCACCCACCTCCCCCCAACACCCCCTCCCCGCCCCCAGGTCCCGGCCTGCTGGCCACAGATTGAGCTCCATCCCACAGTCAGGGGACCTGAACCTGGAGCTGGAGTCTGACCTTCCTATAGTGTAGCCCACCTGCCCTGAACAGCTGCCCAGCCCAGTGCTGCTCCTTTCCTGTCCTCGGCCCCCACTCTCACCCTAAGGCCCCCTGTCCCCCCCAGGTACGCCCCGGAGTCCCTCTCCGACAACATCTTCTCGCGCCAGTCAGACGTCTGGAGCTTCGGGGTTGTTCTGTACGAGCTGTTCACCTACAGCGACAAGAGCTGCAGCCCCTCCGCGGTGAGTGAGCCTCCTGAGCCCTGGCACCTCCTTCTCCCACCCGCTCACTAGCTGGCCGCCTCCCCTCAGCAGCCCTCCCGCCACAGAGGACCCCTCCTCCCCCAGCGGAGTGAGCCCCTCCTCCCGGCAGGAGGGCTCACCCCCCAGTCACCTGCTCCCTTCTTCCCCCCATCACCCCGTTCCCTCTGGCCCAGGAGTTCCTGCGGATGATGGGATGCGAGCGAGATGTCCCGGCTCTCTGCCGCCTCCTGGACCTGCTGGCCGAGGGCCAGAGGCTGCCTGCGCCTCCAGCCTGCCCTGCTGAGGTGAGTGCTCGGAGGAACTGGCTCGGTTTCCCACACCGGGGCCTTGGGCAAGCCCGCTGGCCGCCCTGCGTCTCCCCACCGCCTGGTCTCTTGGCGGAGAGCTCCCGCCCGGGCAGGAGCTGAGCGTTTTCAGAGCCCCAGTGGACCCACATCCAGAAGGGAGACAGCAGTGCCTCCCAGGACGGGGAAGCCCAAATCGCGGGCTCATGTTTATCATCACAGCCTTGTTGTCTTTGTTAGTCCTCACCAGAGCAAATTTTTTCCATTGATTTTTATGGATCTTTTTTAAAAAATATATATTTTATTGATTTTTTACAGAGAGGAAGAGAGGGATAGAAGTTAGAAATATCGATGAGAGAGAATCATCGACCAGCTGCCTCTTGCACACCCCCTACTGAGGATGTGCCCACAACCAAGGTACATGCCCTTGACTGGAATCGAACCCGGACCTTTCAGTCCGCAGACCGACACTCTATCCATTGAGCCAAACTGGTTTCTGCTTCCAATGATTCTTAAAGAGAGTGGAAGGAAGGGAGGGAGAGGGAAGGAGGGAGAGAGAGAGAGAGAGAAACATCAATGTGAAAGAGACACATCAATTGGTTACTTCCCATGCTTGTACCCCAGCAGAGCAGGAATCAAACCTGCACTCCAGGTGCACTCCCTTGTCCAGGAATTGAACCCACGACCCTTTGGTGCATGGCGCAACGCTCTAACTACTGAGCATACCAGCCAGGGCGATCATCACAACTTTTGTGCGAGTTTCTGCCAGGCACTCGGTCATTCATAAATTAAATTCGTTTGGGCCACCGATGTGGAGCCACGACTGTGTTCTGGTGCTGGGGACTCAGCAGGGCCCTCTCAGTCACCAGCGGAAACCAGCGGGAACATTCTGGTGGGGCCCTGGCCCGTGTGGCTCCGTTGGCTGGGCATGATCCTGCGCACAGAAAGGCTGCTGCTTCCATTCCGGGCTCAGGGCACATGCCCAGGTTGCAGGCTTGATCCCTAGCAGGGAGCGTGCAGGAGGCAGCCAATGGATGTTTCTCCCTCTCCCTTCCTCTCAATCTTAAAATCAACACAAATATTTAAAAAGAAAAAGAAAGCCATGCTGGTGGGGAAGAGGTGAACGGGGAAGTGGCCAGGGAGGGATGGCCAGGGAGGACCTCTCGAGGAGATGGTACAAGAGGAGGAGCCCGTCCGTGGAGAAGTCAGCAGCTGTAAGGCCCCGAGGTGGGAAGGAGCTTGGTGCATGTGAATAACAGTGTGGCTGCCTGGGAGAAGGGAGGAGTGATGGAGGGAAGGAGGCAGAGGAAGGTGAGATTCTGTTCTGAGACCCTTAGGGAGCCATGGGAGGCTTTGGAGCAGGGGAGGGATGGAGTCTAAGTATATTTTAGAACAAGAGTCATGTCCTTCCTACCACTCCCATGTGACCCTGATATCTCCTTCTCCTCATCCCCTCCCTCCAGGTTCATGAGCTCATGAAGCTGTGCTGGGCTCCTAGCCCACAAGACCGCCCATCCTTCAGCACCCTGGGCCCCCAGCTGGAGGCGCTGTGGAGTGCAAGTCGCGGGTAGCGTCCGGAAGCATGAGATGCACAGCTTCCCTGTGTGTTTGGAGGGAGACCTTCACTCACTGTGGTTTTTATATCTCCCGCACCTCTGGGTTCTTGTCGCCATGGACGGGCCACGCGAGTTTGGGCAGGATGCTGCTTGCCACCTGCTTCACGGAGACGCCCATGAGTCAAATGACACTGCGTTTGGGGGCATCCCTGGCTTGTGGAGCAAGGGTGGCAGCTTCGTGGCCTTTGGAACTTGTAAATATTCAAGACAGACGGCCCAATGGGGCCGCTGAGCCCTGCTCCCAGAGGGGCGGGGCCACATTTAAGCTCCTCCCATTTCCCCATCCTCTCAGAGAATGTCTTCCCTGACTAGTTTCCAGCGGGGACGTGTGTAGCTTTAAATATGTATGAGCGCAGGCTTCTGTTCGCCCATCCTGCTCTCACTGGAGGAAGCCAAGGACAGGAGCCGCTGCTCCGGTTGGAAATTTGCGTTTTGGAAGAGCAAGTGTGACTGGGACTGTGTGAAGGGCCAGGAGATGCTGGGGTCCCCGTCCACCCTAACTGTACCCCAGGGCTTGTTTCCCCGCCTGTACACTGGGGCCTTTCCCTCTTGATCAGAGGATTACACACTGATGACTGACAGGAGCTTTTCAGCAGCTGAGGGGAGGAAAGGCATTCTTGGCAGAGGGAACATCACGGCGACTGTGAGGAAGCTCAGAGGACAGAGTTCGTTGGAGCCACTTATTTGCTGTGTGACAGTGGGCAGGTTGCTTTGGTTCCAAATGCTGGCTCCTCGGCTGTGCAGAGCCCACTTGCGGTGGCTTGTGCAGGTTAAGCCCCACCAAACCTTCTCAGCTGCCTGCAAGGCTTTGCTGCCACTTAGCCTCCCTGGAAAACCTGCATTCACCTCTCAAACCCCAGCCGTCAGTCACCTCCCCGCAGCCTTCCTTCCTGTGCTCCCGCTACACCCACCAGGCCTGTGCTTCCTGCTCACCATAGGGCTGGGGTGCCGACCCACCAGCTGTCTCTTCTGTTCTGGAGGCTCCAGGGGGGCTGGGCAGGGTGGGCACAGAGGGGACTCTGGGCTGTTTGTTGAATGAATAAAGGAGTTCAGTGGAAGGGATGGTTTGTTGCTGGACTTGGGTGATGGGGAACCTTGAGGAGGGTACTATCAGGGGAGAGATGTGGTTAGGGCTGGGGGGTGGGTAGAGACCCCTGAAGGGCACAGTGGGGGCCTTGGGAGAGGCTGCAGGGGAGGACAGCAGGGTAGGGCATTGGCTGGGGCCCTGGAGGACAGAAGCCCTCCCCCAGCCCCAGCTGCTGGCCTCGGCTCTGTCCTGGGGAGCCGATTACAGGCTCCTTGGGGGAGAGGGGGTGGAGGGAACAGGCTGTTCTGCGTGGGTCAGAGGGGAAGGCCCGGGTGGAAGAGCTAGGCTGTGGGGAGAGGTTCGTCATCAGGAGGGCCAAGCTAGTCCCTGTGTGCTCCTCAGGGCTGCTGGGAAGGCATGGAGAATGACACACAGAGAGAGAGAGAGCAGGGGAGAGACAGACAGAGCCCTCTCAGCCAGGAACAGCCACCTGCTCTGGTGGGAAGTGCGGGGTGAGTCGGGCTACAGGCTGCTCTGAGTTCTCTGCCTTAGCTTCCGTTCTTGGTGAAACGGGGTCCCAAGGCCTCCTGGGCACCAGGTGCCACCCCATAGGTGCTGAGCAAATGCAGCCACATTTGTTCTGGGTCCTTCCGTCTCTGCCCAGGGGACCCTAATGTGAGAGAGGAAGAGCCAACCAGCACCCGCATTCCAGGGCCCGCCTCCTGTGACCTTGGGCAAGTGAGGGGTCCGCTCTCTGAGCCAGTTTCCATATGTGTACCCTAATAGCAAGACTGTGGACAGCCTTGGTCTCAGCTGGCTGAACGCCACCCTCACCCCGTGAAGTTATTTCTCAGTTTATCTCTTTCACTTCTTTCAAACAGTTAAAGATAGTCAGCCAGCAGGCCACTAGAGGTGGGGACACCCTTGCCATTTGTGTCCCTCACAGCCTGTCAATAACCAGCGCTGTGGCTGGACGAGCCCCTGAGCTTATTGCGAGTACAAGACGCTATCAGTAACCATCCGGGAACTCTGAAAAAATAAAGGTTTATTATTTATTTAGAACCTGGAAATGGCACCACACATGTGGGGCCACACAGCCAAGTGGCAGGTAGAGAGAGAGCCTGGCCAGGTAGGGGTTCTGCTTTTATTGGCATTAAGGATTGGGGGGTCTAGGGTTTTGCACTCTCATCCTTTATTGGTGACTTAAAAAAATATATTCTTTATTGATTTTTTACGGAGAGGAGAGAGATGGAGAGTTAGAAACATCGATGAGAGAGAAACATCAATCAGCTGCCTCCTGCACACCTCCTACCAGGGATGTGCCTGCAACCAAGGTACATGCCCTTGACCGGAATCGAACCTGGGACCCTTCAGTCCGCAGTCCGACGCTTTATCCACTGAGCCAAACCGGTTAGGGCCTTTATAGGTGACTAAAACATGAGAGTGGTCATTTAAAGCGTGAAAGAGAATGGACAAGTGGCCCCAAAGGTTAGTGATCAGAACCAAACAGAGCCTGGGCGGGGAGGGGCGCCTGGCGCTCCATCTGGCTGCCCGGCAAGCGGGTGTTTTTGGAGATGGCACATGGGGGGCGGTCACCTCCACACTCAAAGCTCCATGAAGTCAGGCACCAGCATGACAGCAAAGAACACGGCGTCAGGGCTCCCGCTGCATTCACCCTGACCCCGACCCTGACCCTCTCCCTGGGCCCTCTCCCACGCCGCCTCCTTCCTCCAAGGCCCCAGCTGGGGCGGCAGGGAGCCTATAAGGGGGGTTCCTGCCGGGATCGGGCGCTTCCCGCCGCCATGGCCCCCGGCCCGCTGCCCTGGGCGCTGGTGCTGCTGAGCTGGGCCCTGGTGGCGGCGCCGGGTGCGCCCACCCCGGAGGGGCCTGGGCCCGAGAAGCTGTGCGGCCACCACTTCGTCCGCGCGCTGGTGCGCGTGTGCGGGGGCCCGCGCTGGTCCCCCCAGACCGGGCGGCCAGGGGCTGGCGGAGACCGTGAGTGGGGCGGGCAGGGTTGTGCTCCCGGGTTTCTAAGCGGCACGGGGCGCCTGTGGGCTTCGGGGCGCGGGCGGGTGTGTGCGCCCGGCGGACCGGGATCCACCTGCCGGCTGCTGCGAGCGCAAATCCCCGGAGGATGCTCCCCCGCTGGGCGGGACCGGCGAGGCCTAGCGGAAGAGTCTTGCAAGTGCAGCCAGATCCTCTACCATTTCAGTAATTTGATCTTTTAAAAAATATATTTCTTTATTGATTTCAGAGAGGAAGGGAGGAGAGAGAGAGAAGAGAGAGATAGAAAGATAGAAACATCAATGATGAGAGAGAATTATTGACCGGCTGCCTCCTGTACACCCCTCCTTGGGGATTAAGCCCACAACCCAGGCATGTACCCTGGGCTGGAATTGAACCCGAGTCCACTCAGCCCGAAGGCTGACGCTCTATCCACTGAGCCAAGCCTGCCAGGGCGATCTTCATTCATTATATATATATAAATTTATTTTTTTTACAGAGAAGAAGGGAAAGGGACAGAGAGTTAGAAACATCGATGAGAGAGAGAAACATCAATCAGCTGCCTCCTGCACACACCCCAACTGGGGATGTGCCCTTGACCGGAATCAAACCTAGGACTCTTGAGTCCGCAGGCCAATGCTCTATCCACCGAACCAAACCGGTTAGGGTCATGCATTTTCTTATTAATTTTGATTTTTTAAAAAAATACTGCATTAAAATGATTTTTATTGTTTTGGCATGACCAGTGCTCACTCTCCTCCCCTAGGCCTGGTGCAGAGGGCATAACATAGGTTTGTGTGCACGTATGTCACACAAGTGTGTGCTGCGTGGGTGGTCTGTGTGACATGGGTGCAGAAAGGTGTGTAGAGGTGCACATGGCAGGTGGGGGCAAGTGGGGAGGGGTTTGAGGGCATGTTACTTGTGTGTGTGCTCATCCAGGGGTGTGCTTGTGTCCATGTGTACCCACTGTCAGCACACCCATGCACACGTGTGTGTGTACTGCAAGGGGCTTGAGTGTGGATCAAGCATGCACACACCTGGATGGTTGGTTAAATCTGCGCTCAGTATGCAGTAGTTATTTAATAAGTGCTCACTATTTGTGTGCATGATGAGTGTTTGGTGAGGCACTTAGCAGAATGTGAGCAGGCAGGGGTATGCACACAGAATGGGGTGTCTTTTGGGGCCCCCTGTCTATGCTGAACTTTACCCTGTCCCCAGGTGAGCTGCTGCAATGGCTGGAAGGACGGCATCTCCTCCATGGTCTGGTGGCAGAGAACCAGATGCTGGTACTGGACCCCCAGGCCTCTCACCATCATCACCACCATCACCACCACCACCACCACCACCACCACCACCACCGCCGCCGGGCAACTGCCACCAACCCTGCCCGCCACTGCTGCCTTAGCGGCTGCACCTGGCAGGACCTACTGACCCTCTGTCCCCACTGAGCCCTCCTAGGGCATGGCCTCGGGGGAGTCAGAGGCCCAGAGGTTCTGGTTTGGTGACCTCCTGAAGCCATACCGCACCATAAAGCCCCATATCTGGGGGGGGGGGGGCATTGTTGATTACATCCTGGGACAGGGAACTCACTGCCTGATCTAGGTCACCCATCTTCTATGGGGTCACTGGGGGGGGAGGTACCCCACCACCCTGGCTTGGAGAATCCTTGATTTTACAGCGATGTCAGACACCAAGGGCCAACTGTCCTCCCTCCGAGGAGCCCCAGGCACCACCCTCTCTGCACTTGTGACACCCCATCTTGCTGTCTCCCCAACAATAAATAAAACTGCAGAATTCAAAGTGGCTTTTTTTTTTTTTTTTTTTTTTTTTGCATTTTCTCAAGAAAAAGGGACCAGTCTAGGTCGGCCCTCATGGCATGGGCTTGGCCCCTGGCAGCCATAGGCCCACCAACTTCTGGGAGTTTGATAACTTGAGAGTCATCACAATCTCCTTCTCCCTCTCTCTCTCTCACAATAAAAAAAGGAAAATTTAAGGCCCTGGGAGATGACTGCTGGCCAAGATCAGACAAGGTGGGAATGGCCAGGGGCAAAGCAGGATTCAAATCCTGGGAGGGCCTTAATGTCATTTAATGCCCATCAATGGTACGCGCAAGTGTGCGAGCACACACACACACACACACACACACCTGTTAGTCACTGGATATTCATTGATCCAACTCTGACCATTCTTCTCACCTGCATCCTCCCTTCATCCTGAGATGGGGATCCTATGATGCGACCTCCTTGCTATAAGGTGGGTCTGTGTCTCTGACCCTTCCCCTAGGTCTGGAAGTTCAGGGAAAGGTGTGCAGCACGCAATAGGTGCGCGATAAACACTTAAAGGGAGAGGAGGAGGCAGGATGGAGGACGGTAGAGGGACAGTCCTCACGGGAGGAGAGAGGAGGTCGGGTGGGATTGGAAAGGGGCCTTGCCAGAAGCAGGAGCCGGAGGTGGGCCAGTGTCCCTTGCCGACAGGAGCAGACTCAAGCCGTGCCTTTCTCTCCTGGGGCTGTTACCAAGCCGGCAGTGAGAGTCAGACGTAATAGTCAGGGGCATATGAGCTTAGGGCTCTGGAGCCATGGTGGGTGTGTGAACAGAGATGAGGAAAGGTCAAATCAGCACGGTTGAGATTCCTGCAGGTGTTTCCAATTTTCTATTGGAAATGAGGTTTTTATAAAAATGTAGATTGACCGGAGCTAAAACTTATAAACAACAACAACAATAAAAGACCCCAGGTCTCCACCAAACATTTATTCCCTGAGGACCCACTCCCCAATCTGCTCTGCTGCCTGAGGTGCCCGCCACCACCCAACACCCGTGAGGCCCAAGACCCAGACATTTGTCAAGGCCAGCAGGATTGGGGTTCACCAGTTCGCTTGGATCTCCCTAATCCGAAAGACACTCTGGGTTGGGGGGCCAGTCCTGCGTCCCAAGAGCTCAGGGCCACTCCAGGATCTGAACCTCCTCCTTCTCAGGGCACTGGGGTGAGTGTCTGTGTAGCCTTGGGCCCAAGGAAGACCCCTCTGGTCCCAGTACTGTTTCCGGAGTTCTTAGGGATCCCAGGTGTGGGGCCTGGGGCCTGCCAGGTACCCCAGACCGAGTTTTCATAGCCTGAGACAGACCGCAGCCTTCCTCCTCTGGCCAGTATTTCCGCCACCAGAGCACTCAATTCCACAGGCAGGGAGGGGGCGGGCCCATTCGTGGCCACTCTGACCCCTCCCACCATCTGGGGGTCCAAGGCCCTTCCTCTAGCTGGAAAATGCTTCTCCCTTCAGCTGCACGTGACCTTGGAAATCAATTCCCAATTGGCAGGGAACCATGGCCCAACTCACCCACGATTAACCACTGCGGACTCACTACCAAGGAGAGGCTGGCACTCTTTGGGGGCCGGCCCATGACCGAGGTTGGGGCTGGGATGTGGGATTTTGACTCAAACGGGCTGGAAGCAGCAGCAGCAGCAGCAGCAGCTGGGACCCTGGCCGACATGCCTCTGCCAGTAGCTGCCATGGAAAGAGACGGTCCCTCCCGTGAGAGTCTAGGAAGGACGATGAAGCTGGTCTAAGCAGTCCTGGGCGAGTTTTGAAGGACGTGGAGGAATTTGCCACAAACCTCTTCAACCATCAGCCCTGGCCAGGGTGGCTCAGTGAGTTGAGCACTGTCCCATGTTCAGTTTGATTCCTGGTCAGGGCACTCGCTGGGTTTCGGGCTCAATCCCCAGTGAGGGCACGCAGGAGCTAGCTAATCAATGTTTCTTTCTCTCTTTCTCTCTCCCTCTCATTTTCTCTGTTTCTCCCCAAAATAAATAAAAATGTATAGATAGATATATATATAAAAAAAAGCAAACAAACAAAACTATTCACTGGTCAAACCCTCGGTGGCACTTCCCCATGGCCTGGGAGGACAAAGGTCTCCCTCTTCCTGGGAAGAAAATGGGACCCCCCTCCTGGGGGGTGGGGATGGGAGCCCGGGGCTGGGCCCTGACATCTCAGGAGACCCGCATGCGCCGGCCGCACGTGAGGTTGGGCTGGCTCAGCGCGTCCCACATGAGCCGCATCTCGTAGGGCAGGAAGCGGTGCACCAGCAGCAGCTCCCGGTAGAAGCAGGGGTCGAAGGAGGACAGGCGCTTGGAGGGCGCCCAGATGCCGGCCGTGCGGATGCCGCTGTGGGAGGCGGGCTGCAGGCCCGCGTGCTGCAGGCACATGCCCAGGAAGACGTCGTCGATGGGGAAGAGGTCCAGGGCGCGGGCGGCGCGGCGCAGGGCGGCGGCGGTGAAGCGGGACAGCAGGAAGCCGCCCCCGCCGCAGTAGGGCGGGTAGCGCTCCTCCTGCGTCACCACCTTGGGCACGTAGTACTTGCTCCAGGAGACCCGGATGGGCCCCACGTTCCGGATCAGTTGCCCCACGAAGAGGTGGCGGTCGGGGTCGTGGCCCCGCAGGTAGGAGACCATGTTGTCCGTGTGTGCGAAGACGTCGTCGTCCCCGTTGAGGAGGAAGCTGGCGTTGGTGCACCGGGCCTCCTGCCACTGGAGGAAGAGCACCTGCAGGGGGCAGACAGGCGCGTGGGCCTCCGGCTGGGACCACAGGGGGTCCCGGAGGGCCCCTCCAGCCCACGGGGACCAGGTGAGGATGTGTTCCCAGTCAACCCAGCCTGGGTTCAAGGTCCCCCCGCTCTCCATCCTGTGGGGTGACCTCAACAACCAACTGCTCCTCTCGGTGCCTCAGTTTCCTTTTCTCTTTAAAATATATTAATTTTTAAAAATATATATTTTATTGATTTTTTTTTACAGAGAGGAGGAGAGAGCGATAGAGAGCTAGAAACGTCGATGAGAGAGAAACATCGACCAGCTGCCTCTTGCACGCCCCCTACCGGCGATGTGCCCGCAACCAAGGTACATGCCCTTGACCGGAATCGAACCTGGGGCCTTTCAGTCCGCAGACCAACACTCTACCACTGAGCCAAACCGGTTTCGGCTGTGCCTCAGTTTCCAACTTTCCACTAAGGCCTCATCTCAGGACCTGCCTGCAGGATGGCTGGGGATCCAGGGAGACGATGTTTGCTAATAGCTCCAAGAAATGGTCACATTTATGTTTATTGTTATTCCTTCCCACTCTGCCTGGTTGAGTGCCGCTGTTATATAACACCCATTGTGGGCTCCGTGCCCCACAGGGGCCAGACTCATGTCTAAGCTCATGTTTACCATGCCCTTGGGTGTTCTGTGTTAAGAACGCGGCGTGTGGAGGTGTTCTGGCCCTCTGTTTGCTTTGGCTTCCGTTTCCTCCATCATGACCTTTGCTGCCTGCCAAGTGATGTCCTCAGGGCCTGCCCTGCTTTGAATGCCTAATGCAGCCACAAGAGGTAAATCTTCAATCCCATTCACAAATGAGGAAACCGAAGCTGTCCAGAGACAGCGCCTGGAGCAAGGTCACAGAACACAGAAGTAGCTCCTGGCAACCTTGGCCCAGACCTGTCTGTACCCGACAGGAGCAGGGACCCCAGGGAGCAGGGACCCCAGGGAGCAGGGACCCCAGGGAGCAGGGACCCGAGCTGGATCTCTGCTCAGCGTGCTGCCCCCCACCCCACCCTGGCTGGATCCTGCGAGCCTCCAGCTCCTCCTCGGCACTCGGATTCTCCCCACCTGCCATGGGTTCTTGTCCATCAGAAATGTCCTTATTGCCTGGCCAGAGTGGCTCAGTTGGTTGGGCACTGCCTCATGCACCCAAAGGTTGCCAGTTCAGTTCCTGGTCAGGGCACATACTTGGGTTGTGGGTGTATCCCCGGTTGGGGAGTATACGAAAGGCAACCAATCAATTTTCTCTCTCTCTCCCTCCCTCCCTTCTTCTTTCCAAACATGTCCTTGGATGAGGATTTAAAAAAAAAAAAAAAAAGTCTTTATTGCCCTGATCGGTTAGGCTCAGTGGATAGAGCGTCAGCCTGCGGACTGAAAGGTCCTGAGTTCAATTCCGGTCAAGAGCATGTACCTTGGTTTTAGGCACATCCCCAGTAGGGGGTGTGCAGGAGGCAACTGGTTGATGTTCCTCTCTCATCGATGTTTCTAACTCTCTATCCCTCTCCCTATCTCTCTGTAAAAAATAAAAATAAAATAATATTTAAAAAAATATTTATTGAGTACTCACTGCAGAGACTAGACATCATGAGGAGACAGAACCAGATCCAATAAACAAGACGCCTTCTGTCCAGTACCCGCCTCCCCCCACACCAGCCCGGCACTGGCCCAGGTGCCTAATCTCATCTCAGGTAATCCTGACAGCAGCCCTCACAGGCGGATGAGTCCAATTAATTCCCCAACTTCTCGGATGAGGACACGGAGGCACAGAGAGGCGAACCATCGTTAAGGGCCACACAGAGCCTGGACTGAAGCCTGGGTCCTCAGGCCCCGATGGCCAGGCTAGTAACCCCTGGCCAGCCCGGCTTCCCCCTGCCTCCGGGAGAGGAAATGGACCTCAGGGGCCAGGTAGACAGGAGAGGGGATAAGGTAGGGGGATGGGGACGGGCCTGCGGGTCCCCTCGGAGCCCTGGGAGGAGATGGTGGTGATCTGGGCAGGAGGGCCAGGGGACGCCCCGCCAGCCTACCTGCTTGAGCGTGAGGTTGAAGAAGGAGTCGTGGAAGTCCCACTGCAGGATGTCGCCGTGGACCCGGGCCTCCATGGCCAGCAGCTGGTTGACCTTGCGGGCCTCCCTGGGCTCGGCGGCGGTGCCCACCAGGAAGAGGCGGCGCAGCGGGGCGCCCCGCACCTCGCGCTCGCGGCCCCACGTGCGGCGCACCAGCTCGCGGCGCTCGTAGTTGCTGGGCGAGGACTTGATGACCAGCAGCAGGAAGGCGTGCGGCGCGCACTTGCCCGGCGGCGCGTCCTGCAGCAGCGGGAAGTCGCGGCAGTGCCGGTGCAGCAGGAAGTCCCGGATGTGCGGCGGCTGCCCGGGGAAGTCCGGCAGCTTCGCCATCGAGGCGTTGGCCCTGCAGGGCACGGGCGGGGCCCGGCTTGGGGCGGGCGGAGGGCGCCAGGTCCCGGGCCCAGGGGTGCCCGGCGGCCCTGCCAGGCTCCCGCAGGGGCTGGGCGGCGTCGTGTGCAGATTGAAGAGGAGGAAAAGGAGCGAGAAGGTGCAGAGGACCATGGCTAGGACCGTCTCTGTCCGCAAGGACCGGAAACACCTCCTCATGGTCTCCAGGTTTGGGGTTGGTCCAGGGGGACCCACGGGGTGGCTCCTGGGGGAGAATACCATTCACAGAAGGTCCCGGATGGGCCAAGCGCCTTTCTTTCCTGAGACACCTGCGGGCCCCAGCACCTGGTACAGGGTACAGGTGCTCAGGTTAGTAAAATACTGAAATCCAACCCCATCGAGTCCCCTACACCCCTTCTCCCCGAGCACCCCAACCCAGGTGGGCTCGGACAGTGGCCGGGGATTCTATATTTACAAAGAAAACCGAGGCACAGGAATGCAAGGAGAGACCGCCAGACTCAGCCTGCCCAGAACCCGCCCTCCATATCCAGCCTGGTCCTCCTCATGGCCCCGCCTCAGGGATGGCCCAGGAGGATGGAGGGTGGGGTGGAGGGGGGGCTGGGGGCAGAGAACTCTCTATCAGCTGAGAGCTGCTGGGGTCCTTCTTGCTTCCCTTTCACCTGCCCCTCCAGGAAGCTCTGAGCCCGTTCTTCTTGATGAGAAGACCTGTATAACGGACCAGCCCGGCCAGGTGTAATATACAGACCGTTTATTAGGTCTGTATAACGGACCATTTCGGGCCAAGTAGTGTCTGTTACAGCTGAAAGCCTATTATATAATAAAGTAGGTTTTCCCAAATGCATATGTTAAAAAATTATTAGATCAGTTTACCTGTTTTTACTTATGTAGACATGTTTGTGTAATTAAGTAAGTATGGCCCTGGCCGGTTGCTCAGTGGTTAGAGCATTGACCCGTGGACCTAAGGGATGCAGGTTGGATTCCTGGTCAAGGGCTTGTGCCTCAGTTGCTGGTTCCCCAACCGGGGTAGGGGCTCATGCTGGAGGCAGCCAATTGATGCATGTTGATGTTTCCCTCTCTCTTCTGCCTCCCTTCCTTCCACTCTCTCTAGAAACCAATGGAAAAAATGTCCTCGAGTGAGGATTAAAAAAAAAAATTAAGCCGAAACCGGTTTGGCTCAGTGGTAGAGCGTTGGTCTGCGAACTGAAAGGTCCCGGGTTCGATTCCGGTCAAGGGCATGTACTTGGTTGCGGGCACATCCCCTGTTGGGGGTGTGCAGGAGGCAACTGGTTGATGTTTCTCTCTCATCGATGTTTCTAGCTCTCTATCTCTCTCCCTTTCTCTCTGTAAAAAAATCAATAAAATATATTTAAAAAATTAAGTAGTTATGAAAGTTTAATTTCACAGAAAGGTTTTTTATATGTACTGCTATAATTTTAATTTTTTTAAATTGATTTTTACAGAGAGGGAGAGTTAGAAACATCAATGAGAGAGAAACATCGATCAGCTGCCTCCTGCACACCCTGAACTGGGGATGTGCTCGCATCCAAGGTGCATGCCCTTGACCGGAATCGAACCTGGGACCCTTCAGTCTCCAGGCCGATGCTCTATCTACTGAGCCAAATGGGTTATGGCTGTAATTTTAAATTTATACTAAGAAGGTCCAGCAAATGCATGCACGCACCAGTCACGCAAGTAAACAGAAGCACACGTGGCAGTTGAGCCGGTTGGCGTTAAAACTGCTGCAGAAAGTCATCCGTGCACACAGGAACCAAATACCGCGAACTGCGGTGTGGTTCTGATGACGCTGGGGACATGTTTACGAGCGATGACTCTGGATTTAAAAATGTAGACCGCCCTGGCCGGTTTTCTCTGAGGTTGGAACATCAATTGCAGACTGAAGGGTCTTCGGTTCAATTCCTGGTCAGGAGTATGTACCTTGGTTACAGGTTCTCCAGCCCTGGTGGGGGCACATACAGAAGGCAACGAATAGATGTGTCTCTTACATTGATGTTTCTGTCTGTCTCTCTCTCCCCTCCTCCTCCCTCCCTTCCACTCTCTCTAGAAATCAGTGGAAACAATATTCTCGAGTGAGGATTAAAAGAATACATATGTGTATCTATAATAATAAGAGCATAATATGCTAATGAGACCAGACGTCCTTCTGGACTCCTTCCAGATGACTTTCCGGATTAAACCGGGGCTGAGAGGGAAGCCCGGGTCCCGGGTGCCAGAGGGAAACTGGTGTTGTCAGCTGGGGGAAGGAAGGCCTGCTCTTGCATGAATTTAGTGGACCAGGCCTCTAGTATATATATATATATGTAATTATAGTTGTAGATCCGTAATAGTTATTTATGTTGGTGAAATTACTATAGTGTTCTTTCCCAACATATGGCCTATTTGCTAAAAATAACAATGAACTGCCCTGCTGGTGTGGCTCACTGATTGAGCATCGACCTAGATCCAGGAGGTCAGGGTTCAATTTCTGGTCAGGTCACATGCCTGGGTTGCGGGCTCGATTCCCAGTGTGGGGGGTGCAGGCAGCCGATCAATGATTCTCTCTCATCATTGACATTTATATCTCTCTCTCCCTATCCCTTCTTCTCTGAAATCAATAAAAAAAAAAATTAAAAAAAAGAAAGAAAAGAAAGCACAGCCCTAGATGGTTTGGTTCAGTGGGTAGAGAGCATTGGCCTGTGGACTTCCGGTCAAGGGCACATGCCCGGGTTGTGGGCTTGATCCCCAGTAGGGGGCATGCAGGAGGCACCCAATCAATGATTCTCTCATCATTGATGTTTCTATTTCTCTCTCCCTCTCCCTTCCTCTCTGAAATAAAAAATATATGTATATAAAGAAAAAAACACACAAAAAGTAACCTGCTAGTTATGAGTAAATGTTGGTTAAAATCATTTTTAAATTAAAAGTGTGTTAAGTTTCACATATAACATACAGATTGGATGTTTTTCCATTAAATTTGAAGTCCATTAAATCGAGGCCTGCAACATCGAGGGTTTACTGGCTTTTTAATGACCCTCTGGCCCCTCAGTGTACAAATAAAGCTATCTTCTTTGGCAAACTCCCATTCCTCCTTTAAAATTCATCACAAACAGTCCATTTTTTCTCAGAAGCTCTCTCTGACCCCTCAGAAAGAATCCTGGTTCCCTGTTGGTACTTTAGCCCAGTCTCTTGCTCTGGCTCAGTCCTGATGCCATGGGGGTGTCTGTGTCTGGCTTTGTCTTCCCAACACTGGGGGGTCCTTGTATCACCCAGCAGGGGGCAGACACATGGGAGAAGCACAGAGTGTTTGAATGAATAAATTTATGAATGAAAGGAAATTTATTACATTTCTCTCTGAAAAACTTTTATTCAAACTTCAAAACCCCAGCTGGAATGTCTCCTCCCCATTTCACGCTGTAACAAGATGTCTGCGCCCACAGTGGAGGAGGCAGGGATTCCATAACACAAGATGGCTGCGCCCATAGCAGAGGCTGAGTTCCATAAGGAGCAACCAGCAGGGACCTGAGGCTGCATGGTGCTGGGCTGGGGCAGGGGACTGAGGCTGTGCCTCCTGCCAGGTGGGGCTTGACAGGGGACCTCAGGCCACGCCCCCTGGCCCAGGCTGGGGGAACTGAGGTCGCACCCCCCACCTGGCAGAGCCAATGGGGGTGGGGTGGCCGGGTCTGGATCTAGCCCAATGGGGGTGGGGTTGGCGGGGTCTGGGTCTCACCTGATTCCGAGGTGCATGTGGGTGGGCGGGGACTTGACTCTGGTTCCCAGTAGTGCACCCCAGACTCTGACAGGAGGAAGATTTTCATATACATTTTACTAATTTTCTTTCATCTCTGACACTTCTATTATAGAGAAAGGGCAAATTAGCAATATTAAAATATTTCCTCTAATTAATTCCTTTTTAATGTGCCCTCGGGGATGCCTGGCCATGCCAGGAGACAGTTTTGGTTATCATGGTGTGGGGGGGGGGGGCAGGAATGCTGCTTCACATGACGCGGCCCCACTACCCACCAGCCCCGAATGTCAGCGCTGCAGCATTGAGCAACCCTGGGCTAAGCCAACAGAAACCAGAATGGAGAACTCCAGATGGAGGCCGGTCAGAAAAGGAGAATTAGGGAGTGAGCCAAGAACCTTAATACAGGTTTATGTAAACTCACCATAGGGAATGGAATATGGATGAGATTCACTACTGCTTATACATGCATTCCTTATATATTTTTAAATTTTAAAAAAATCAGCCCTAGCCAGTTTGGCTCAGTGGATAAAGCGTCAGCCTGTGGACTGAAGGGTCCTGGGTTCGATTCTGGCCAAGAGCACATGCCCGGGTTGCAGGTTCGATGATCCCCAGTAGGGAATGTGCAGGAGGCAACTGATCAATGATTCTCTCTCCTCATTGATGTTTCTCTCTCTCTTTCGCTCGTCCTTCGTCTCTGAAATCAATACAGAAATATAGTAACAAATAAATAAATAAATGATTAAATAAATAAATCAAACCTAAATGGCCAGGGATCAGTTCACTGGGAATGCATTCTGTAAGTCCTAAAAGGGCGTCTTAACAAAGGAAGACATCTCTGCAAATACAAATAGTTACAACTCAGCCAAATCTGAGGGCTGGGGAGGGGAAAGGCCTGAGAGGAGGCAGAACAATTATGTAACGGCTCCAATGACTGGGGTCAGAGTCAGGGCAAAATAGAACTTCTCGGGGTGGCCACTGAGTTAATTAATTCACTAATGCCTGCTCCTTTCCTTGCATTCTTTTTTCTTTCTTTGCCAGAACTCTTTGCATATGGAACATCCTTTGTTGGCTATCTGCAGTCTCAACTTTTTCTCACCTTGTCTACTTATCCTTTCCCTAAATGGAGGAATCCCAGGGCTATTCCGCCCTGCAAGCCCCCATGAGGATCCTGATGGAGTTAAGAACCTGTCAGAGGCTTGCTTCTCCTCTCCTTGCACTAGACCTCCATTAATGCATCCAAGATCTGCTTCCCTCTTCCATCCACCAAGGGCCTCTGCTAACTCATGGTCTCTCTTTATTTTTTTATTTTTTTAAATATATTTCATTGATTTCTTTACAGAGAAGAAGGGAGAGGGAGAGAGTTAGAAACATCGATCAGCTGCCTCCTGCACGCCTCCTACTGGGGATGTGCCTGCAATCAAGATACATGCCCTTGACTGGAATCGAACCTGGGACT